AAAAAAAAAAAAATTTGCTCGCCCATCCTTCTACCTTTGTCCACATGTCTTCCTCGTTTATGTCAACCAAGTTGAGTGGTACTCCAACGTCTAATTGTTCCAAAAACGTTTTTCACTCTCACACAAAAAAACGTCTAGCCATAACGATAAGCGAGTATCGTTAAAGTTTGTAACATCACCGCAATTTTAGATTATGTACTTAAATGGCCTTGAACTAAAGGTAGCGACAATGTATTGAATAACAAATTCAATCTTTTATTTCTCTGACAGGGATGCACTGACACTCCACATCATATTGTGGCTGATTCTTGTTCGAAAGACCATTAACGGTTCTTACTCCATTTCACAAAGTACAATTCTCTCGACATTAACGTGATTAATGGAGTCCAGGAAAACTAAAAACCTAGGTAAGTTAACCTATTATTTTAAAGACTAGTTGCCTTTTAAGACACTGACGCCTCCAAGTTTTGAGTCTACGTACGTTGTTCTGAATCACATTGTGGTCGACCGTCTGAGTCGGATGGTCTTGCACCGCTTCTCCGATGATGTCTGAATTTTCAGCCGCCGGTAAGGCACTAAGGTCCGGGACCGAATGCAAGGTTGATGGGACAGCACTTAGGCTCTGGGGGTCGTCGGTGGTTGGTACCAGCTGGGTGACATCCGTACTCGATGCTAGTGTAGACTTTCGAATCCACGAAGCATCGGTGTTAGTTGGGGTCAGTTGGGCAGTATCATCTTTCGATGGAGCAGGACTAGAATGCTGAACCCAGGGGGCGTCACCATTGTTCGGTAAATTTAGGGGTATGCCTTGGTTTGCGGCATCCAAAGCAGGGCTTGAGACGGATGTAGGAGTGACAGAATATAACGGGGTACCGCTAATATTCTGACCCATTTGGGTAAGACCAGACTTCTCAGGTGGATATTGAGTTACTCCGCCGTCCTCCGTCGAATCTGCCTTCTCAATTGGTTTCATCCCAAGCTCATGAACTATGTACCCTTGATCCCACAGCTTCTGAAAGGCCCCTTTGAAAAAGACACTAGCAGCAGGACCAACGCTGCACTCGCCATCACTCTTACCTGGTATTTTGATAGTCCAAATTCGAAGTGTTGGTCTCTGACGTAGGAGGAGCTCCGATGCCTGCCGGAGGAACGTTGCACCAATCTGTGTTTACGCGATCCCTCCACAAAAAAGGGAGTCAGTACGCAAAATTGTTGATGTAGACACAAGGATTACAAATAATTTCTGCTGGTGTCGATGATACAATTTAGATCCGTCGAGTTACTAGCAATCTGGAATTTTGTGCACAATTCAGTAATTTGAGCAGTCGTTCAGTAGTTTGAAGTGTTGAGAATTATGCCCTTCAGGTGTTTCGTCGCAGAAAGTTCTTTAACAAACTTCACTACTATCGGCAGTTGCTTATCCGAGACAACAGTTCAGTAGCCAACATCCGCGTACAACTCTGCGTGAGAAACTTTGAAAAAGATTTCAATCGCGATTGGAAGTCCACCATCACAAAAAGTCGATCTATTAAAAAAGAGTGAGCTAGAGAAAATCATTACGTGCATTACGTGCGAGGTATACAATTTGAAACTAACGAGAATGGAGACGAATATTTTTATTGATTATTCTTTTTGAACAGATCGACTAATCGTAGTAGTGATTACACCAGTTTGGTTGACGAATTTTTTATACTTATTTTTTAAAACAATCAACCAATCGCAATAGTGGACATCCGCAATCGCAACAGTGTACATATATTCGCCATCGCATTCGCAATAGATCGCGATTGGTCGATCTGTTTAAAAGAATAATCAGTAAGAAATTCCTCAACAAAACTGGTATGATCACTACTACGATTAGTCGATCTACTCAAAATAAATTAATAAAAATAGTAATCTCCATTCTCGGAATTCTCGAACTGGTAAATCCGGTGCACGTAATTG